CTGGGCGCCGCCGGCTTCCCCGCCCGCGTCAGCGCGCACTGGCACAAGGGCACCACGCTCATGATCAAGTTCGACGAGGCCGTCATCGCCCGCGACAAGAGCCTGGAGGGGCGCTGAGCCGCGGGGACAGCGCGGCCGTGTCGCCTTGTCACACGGTGACAGCGCCGGGAGGGAGGGGACAGTCTGGAGAGGGACAGGAGCCTGGAGGGGCCTGAGCGACGGTGACATCCGCCATCGAACCGGGACAGACATCACCACCCGCCACAGGAGCTTCCTGGTGGCCTCGGCCACCTCGGGGGACATCGGGGCTGGTCTTGTCCCCGAGGTGGCCCTTGTGGACACTCATGTTACAATAAACTGTCTCTTGTCACTCCAGTGGCCTCGTCTCTGCTTTGGCCGGGGCTATCCTGGGGTAGCTTTGGGTCCCCAACGCGTCCCCTGCCTCTCTGGGATCCCTGTGGGGACATCGGTCACCTCCTGGGGACACTGAGGACATTCCGGGGCCGCAGGTGCCACCACCCTGTGACCCTCCCGGTGCCGTCGTTGTCCCCACGTCCCCCCAGAAAGGGCGGGGGGGTCCTGGGGCATTCGGGGGTTCGGGGAGGGACCGGGGNCGCCACCCCGCGCCCCCAGCTCTGTCCCAGCCCTGTCCCCTCCGCCGGTGGCCGGGCGGGCGCTGAGCGTGTCCCTTTTCCCTCCGGTGACAGCCATGGTGGCCTCGGCGGCGCAGCTGGCGCAGGGCCGGGTGCCCCTGGAGCAGAGGGACTTCTGCGGCCACCACCTGCTGCGGCTGCTGCGCTGCCACCGCGACAACTTCCCCGTGCCATGGGGCTGCCACGCGCTGCACCACGCCTGGGACAGCTGCCAGCACCACGAGTAGGGACACGGGGACACGGGGACATTGGGGACATTGTGGGGACACGGCTGGGACAGCTGCCAGCACCATGAGTAGGGACACGGGGGGACATTGGGGACATTGTGGGGACACAGCTGGAACAGCTGTCAGCACTGCAAGTGAGGGACATGGGGACATGATGGGGACATCGGGGATGCTGGGGGGACACGGCTGGGGGTGAGTGGGGACACCGTGAGTGGGGACAGGGACACGGGGGGTGTGTGACACTGGCGGGGACGCAGCGCTGAGGACGGGTGAGCCTGGGGACAGGCGGTGACAGCTCGGTGCCGCCTGTCCCCAGCTACGTCACCCGCATGAAGGAGTTCGAGCGCGAGCGGCGCCTGCGGCAGCGCCAGAAGAGAATCCGGCAGCGCCACGGGGACAGCGAGTGACACCCGGGAACACCCGGGGACACCACGGGGACGGGGACATGAGGCCACCCCGTGCAATAAAGCTGCCGAGTGTCACCGTGCTGGCTCGTCACTGCGTGTGGGGACAGCGGGAGTGTCCCTCGGGGCGGCTGTGACCCCCCGGGATGGGACAATGACAGGCCACACGCGGGTGGGGGATGGGTTTTATTGTCACCTGTGGGGAGGGGACGCGGTGACGCTGGGCTGTGGTCACCAGCCACGTGTGGGTGACACTGCATTGTCACCAGGGGTGGCTTCGGTCACCACTGCTGTCCCTGGGACTGGGCCAGCCCTGCTGGGGACACTGCCACCGGGGAGGGGACACGGGGGTGGCACCCTGAAGGTGACAAGGGACAGTGGGGCCACATTCTCCAATGTGTGTCCTGCTGTGAGCACCGGGGTGACAATGGGCCCGTGTCCCCTGTCCCCACGCTGTCCCCAAGGCTCAGGGCAGGACTGACGGGGACAGATCAGGGTGTTCCCAGTGTCCCCAAGGGCTGCCCCTGGTGTGACAGCAGGGAGGGGACAGGGGGTGACCCGGGTGTCCCAGCAGGGAGGGCACAGGGGGTGTCCCCGGTGTCACAGCAGGGAGGTGACAGCAGGTGACCCGGGTGTCACAGCAGGAAGGGGATGATGGGCGAGCGCAGGGGAGGGTAATCCCGGAATTCCCGGAGGTAGCTGCGGTGCTTGCCCTGCGCCCAGATCGCCATCTGCACGAAGCCCACCAGCGAGAACAGGGCCACTGTGGGGACAGCGCTGTCACCGTGGGGACAGGGAGGGACAGGGACCCCAGGCCGTGGGGGATTTGGGGGGTCACGGGTGGCACGAGGGATGTGGAGGGGACAGGAGACCCTGGAGTGGCACAGGGGACACAGGGACCCCAGGGTGGGACAGGGGACACAGAGCGGGGGTCTCTGGGGTGCCACCCCCCCCATCAGCCCCTCCCTTGTCCCCCGTGTCCCCTCTCTCCTCACCGGGCAGACACTGGGTCATGATGGTGAAACCGATCCAGGACCCGACCTGGGGGGGAACACCCACGGGGGTGTCACCATTGGGGGTGTCACCACTGGGGGGGCAGCCCCCACATGTTCCCCTCCCCCACAGTCCTGCCGTGCCCCCCAGGGCACCAGCACAGCGGTGTCCCCTCCCCCCCAGCCTCCACATCCCCCCAGGTGTCCCCAGGTGTCCCCAGGTGTCCTCACCTCGTAGGTGTAGTTGGGGCAGGACACGAGCAGGAACAGCCACGTGAAGGGGTTGCGGGTGGGGTACGGGAT